GGCTGCATCTATGGCAGCTCACCCAAAATTGAATTGGCACCCTAAAGATTGGTTGGCTGAGCAGTGTGCCTGGGAGCCTGGGGGGTGAGATGGTGGTTGAACCTTCAGCTGCCTTAGACTCAAGAAGGCCACAGACTCATCCCTCAGGGTCATAGAGATCACCCCCTGGCCCTCCATTCAGAGTGGAACTCTTCTTACCTTCCCTGCCCTGAGTCTTATCCAGTTATGACCAATGGGGGAGGTCAAGGGAGAGGTCTTACGGGAACAAGGGGACCAGGCTGGTGTGGGGCTAGACCAAGCGAGATCTCTTCAGCCAATGGGGAGACATTACCTAAGTTCTGGAGTGCAGAGCCCATATTAGGCATGGGGGGGGGGGAAGGCATTGTCTTGAATCTTTGGGCACAGCATGGCTAGGGACATTTCTAGTGTGTTATCAACAAGCTCATCCATGTTGTGGTAATGAAACAGGGAGACTGCTGAGAGTTGGGGGGTGGGGGGCTCCCTGGCCTGGCTGGCAGCTCGGAGAGTCCCTGGCATGTGCTGGCAGCCTACTGGGCTCCACTGGTCTCAGCCTCCCTCCTGGGGGGTTCTACCTGCTTTTCAGTGTTTCATCAAGGTCAGCGCTGCTTATGGCTCCATGAAAGACATCTCCGTCTACAGTGCTCTGGGTCTGCCCCCCTCCCAGATCTTCATTGTGGGCCGCCCCACCAAGAAGTACCAGCGTCAGTGCCAGGTACTGGCGGGTGTGAGGTGGGGGCAGCTAGTCCCGGATGAAGCTACAGGGGGGTCGTACGGTCCCTTCTGAGCCTCCCCTTGTTGCCTCAGTTTCTCAGTGAGGGATACGCAGCTCACCTGGCCTTGCTGGAGTCCAGCCACCGGGCCCGGCCCAAGAAGAACAACTCGCGAGTGATCTTACGCAAAGGCAGCTTTGGCCTCCACTCTCAGCCCGAGTTCCTGCGGAAGAGGAACCATCTGCGCAGGACAATGTCCGTCCAGCAGCCTGAGCCGCCAGTGGCCACCCCGAAGCCGGAGCGAGCCCAGAGCCAGCCAGAGTCGGACAAAGACCATGAGCGGCACCTCCCCCCAGTGGGCTGGGCCCGGGGTGGACCACACAAGTTTGAGTCGGTGCCCTAAAGTCAGGGAGCCATAGTTTGGGGCTGCCTTCCTGAGTGGGAGGCCTGCCTGGAGGAGGCGGAGGAGGAGGGGGGGTGGGTCAGGGGTAGGTCTGCCTTCTCCCAAACACAAGGAGTTTTTCTTCTTTGTTCTCCACCCTGTGTCTGTCCAGAAATGCCCCCTGGAGAAGCTGTGACCCAAACCTTGCAAAGTGTGGGCACTCTGGGGTGTGAAGCCGCCTGGGCACTGCTTGTGGCCTGAGGCAGTGGTAGCCCTGGGAACAGAATGAGGGATGCAGCAGGCGGCCAGTGCTCCCTCCTTAGTCCCCGGGAGCTTACCTGCCGCTGGAGGAGGGGAAGATGGGCAGGCCTGGTGACAGCAGCCCCACCTTTGGTCCAAAAGCTGGTCTCACTTACCCAGAATTGGGGTATTCATTATCGTCCGATTAGGTTTTGAGACTTTCCCTGGCAGGTTGTGCAGGCATGGGAAAGGCCTGTGCCTGGGGGCTGAGGCTCTCGATATGTGTCCTCAGGGGGACCTGCATCCCCTGATGGGGTGCTGAGGTGATGGGGGGAGGGAAGAACCATATGCCTGGGTCCATTATGTTTTCTGATGGCCAGCAGGGCTCCAGTCCCACCCACCCCAGGGAGGTCTTGAGAGATACTATCACTGCTGGTGATGGCCCTCGCTCTTCCCATGGCAAGATCTTGGCCTGCAGAGCCCCCAAACAGTGTTTGCAAAGTGGCTGCTGCTGGTACCACAGGGCCTTCTCTTAATGGTAGGTGGCCGTCTTTGTCAACATCTCCCGCTAGGGGCTGGTGCTGATGGTGCTGTCCCCATCCATGCTCATCTGCTGCCCTCTCGAGAGGGGCTTAGGGTCACGTTAGGTTCCCTGAATGAACAGCTCAGAAGGACTCTTCCACCCTGAGTCTCATCCAGTGTCCTGTGGGCTCCCTCCACCCTGACCCCACTGGACAAGAGTGACCAGCCTTAGGGTCTCACCCTGGTTCTGTCACGGTGTGACCATGGGCAAGTCCCCTTCCCTTGAGGGACCTTAGTACCCTCATCTGTAAAATGAGGGCATTTGACTTGATCAACTCTGGGATCTCATCCCATTCTCTACCAGTGATTATGACGGATGGTCTCTGACCTCCAGTCCACCCATTTTGTGGATGGCCCTTTGGTGCCCTAGTCCTGATCTCCCCTCCCCATCCTCCCTTGACCAGCCAAGGCTCAGCACTACTGTCTTCATGAATGCTCACCCATGTCAGGTGGTCAGTGAGGGAGCTGTTTTAGGACAGAGACCAATGGGAGGGTGGGAGGGCACCCTGGGCTTGCCAGCCATCTCCAGGGAGCCTTTCCTGTCTCTGTCTGGAAGATGAGCTAGGATCTGCCTTCCCGAGCCACTTCCTGTCCAGCGCACACCTTCATGCACTGTGACCGTTGGTGTCTGACCCCGCTGGGAAAGCCCTTCTCAAGCCCCACTACCCCTCGCTCGCTGCCAGAGCTGCTCCTGGATGGACCAAGGCTCACCTTTGTCTTCTTCCACTCATTTATGTGCTCACCTGGTTTGTGCCTGGAGGCTCTCAGGGGCCAAAGCCCCTGAGCTGATCTGTTCCTCAGCTCCATTCCCCCACAGGCCTGGCTGACGCCTGGTTGGTTCCTGACTGATGCCCGGCTGAAGCCTGGCTGATGCCGGCTGGCTCCCTGCCCAGCCTACATCCCAGCTATTTCCTTGGATGTTTCTTGGGTCTAGAGCTGGGACAGCGCCTCCATACTGGGGAAGCAGCTGCGGATGGTTGGGATGGCCCAGCTTGCTTTGGCCTTGGTCTGGTGAGCACAGCGCCGCTTCTGTCTCATGTCTACCTCTGTCAGCCAGGGAGCAGACCATGCTCTGGCCAGACTCTTCTCAGCCTGGACCCCAGCTGTCCATGAGCAGCAGTCAGTCAACAAACCTTTATTAATTAAGTGCTTACTGCTGACAGCCTGCAGGGTGCCCTCTTCAGCCACAGTCCCTTTTGACTGCTGGGCTGACTACCAGACATACTTCTTTTCTGTAGGTCACTCCTGGCTGAGCCCGTCTCCCCTAGGGATCAGTGCACATCTAGGCAGAGCTCTGGATGGGTGGTGGAGGGGTGAAGGAGACTTCATCTCTGTCCAGTCTTCTTGGCCTGGCTCAGCACGGGCTCCACACTGGAGCTAAGTATTGGCACACTCAAGGCCCTGGGTTCATTAGGGGGCCCTGGCCCAAGCGGCAGCTTTGCCCCGAGTTGCATTCCCCAGACCAGTCCCCTGCCTTATGGAGCCACACTGGAGAGGCCAGCGTGAATCTGGGGTCATCCAGGGTCTGGCCTGCCATGGTTCCTTCACGGATCAGGGCTCCTTCTGAAGGCCATGGGGCAGGTTTGACTGAACCCAGAGGGCTTCAGGTCCCAGGTGGAAGGCATGTGGACTCTTCTGTTTCTCCTTGGAGGATCAGCTGAGCTCAGTGCCAAGGGGTCTGGGGGAGAGGCCTTGGGGGAGCCCTGTTGGCCAGTAGTCACTCAGCAGAGTTGGTCCAGCACCCTCTCTGAAGTTCTGCCACCTCAGCTTTCTGAAAAAGGCTGGGCATGGGGCAGGGCTTCACCCATTTAGAGTTGAGGGTGCCGAAGGCCTACTGGCAAACTTCCCATGTTCCCAGGAAGCCAAGTCAGGATGCTAATTCCCCCCAGTGAGGATGCTGGGGTGCTCAGCATGCTGGCCTGGGCCCTGTCTCACACCAGGGCTGGGGGAGGCTCCATTTGTTTTCCAGAGCCTGCCGCAGCTGCCCCACCAGCCCCATCCCCTTCTGGCCCAACAGCAGCAGCCTTCTGCAGCAGGGGGACCCTTCCCAGATACCCACCTCACCCCTCAGGCTGAGATTGTGCATGCATGTGTGTGCAAGTGTGTGTTTGTGTGCAGCTCCCCATGCATCATCTGCCTGGTTAGTCGATGTCTTCCTGTGAAGCTGGAGAAAATGTACTTAGAAGGTGAGGGATAGCACAGGTGATCTCCAGCTCAACCCACCCATCCCAAACAAGGCAGGCTCTGCTGCTCCTCCCAACTGCCTATTTATCCCACTGCTGACAAGGCTACAGCTCGAGGCATGCCATCCCCTGGCTGCCCACCTAGGGCCTGCCTGTGCTTGGGTCCTGGGAGCCAGGGGCATTCTCTGGCACTCCTGTCACCCCCTGGCTGCCCACCTAGGGTTTGCCTATGCTTGGGTCCCAGGAACCAGGGGCATTCTCTGGCACTCCTACTGCCATCCCCTGGCTGCCCACCAAGGGTCTACCTGTGCTTGGGCCCCGGGAGCCTGAGGGTATTCTCAGGCACTCCTGGGGCCCTAAGTCTGTTCACTGCACCTGCCCCAGGGGAAGGGTCTTGCTCATACATTTTACTGGATAGCTCACCTTTCCCTTCAACCAACACCTGATGATTCTGGGCTGGAGGGAACAAAGGTCCAAAGCTGCTCCCAGAAGGTTCTAGAGACTTGTGTGGGGCTGGGAGGGAGCCCTTGGCTGGGCAGGAGGAGGCAGTTAAAAGCAATGTCATCTCATCACTTTGAGGCCCATGTTCCAAATCGCCATCTGACTTCATAAGATGGCGGCTCAGTCCTACAGAAATGTACAAGGTCACCTTCCATGTGCTTCTAGGGCCTCCTACAACTTCCCGCATTGAATGATTGCTTTGCCTGCATATCCCTTTCTTCCTTCATAGATGAGAGGGGAGGTCTGGAGCCCCAGCCTGATAGGAGCATGGCTCTGCCCCCCAGTTCACCCCCCCTTCAGACTCCTTGGGCCTTACCCTTTTATCTCCCACCCTGGACCAACCCCCCTCCACCCCTTTTTTCTGAGATCTAGACTTCTGTGGGTCCTTTTGGGGTGGGAGTGAAATCGAGACCCTCATGTGGCTTTTGGGTAGGCAGCTGGGGAGTCCCAGAGCCAGCAAGGATGGACCAAGTGAAGCCTTCCATGGCCGACCCCTGTGGGTGTGTGGGAAGAGGAAGGCAGCCGTGCCCCTCGCCAGGGACCCCCACTTCACCAGGGTCTCTGGAACAATGTCCTTTTTTCTTGGCTCTTGTGACGGTCTCCATTAATTCCATGTAGTTTCCAATATCATTTGTCAGTGAGGTTCTGTGGTGACAAAGGTTCTTTCTTATGCCGCTCTTGTACAAAGTGGGTCTAAACATGTACAACACCAGATTTCTCAGAATCAAGGCGTTGCAATTTTTACAAAGGGTCTCACTTTTGATGGGAGCTGGTCTTTGCCTCTCTAGTGCTGTCACAAATAAAAACTTGCCTTGCCTTTGAGGTTGCTGATTGGTGTTCCCAGAACTGTCCTGGGCCTCTGGCTAAGGCGGCTCCCCTGCCCAACCACGGACACTGCTTTCACACGCTTAACCAGCTGTGGCTTAGGAGCTCAGCCCTGCTCCAGATCCCCCATTCCCTAGGTACAAGGAGTGGGCTCAGGTATCTGGGGAAAAGCCCATTGACTTGATGAGACAGAGGCCAAAGGCCAGCACTGGCTCACCAGGGCCCCCACCTTCTAGGCCCAAGTCTGTGTGCAGTAAGGTCCCTGCCAAGGCCCCATCCCGCATCCACATGTATAGGTGGCATTCCCTGACTATCCCTAAACCAGACAGACTTAGCCTCTCCCCAGCACCCTGCCATAGACCAAAGACCCTGCAGTAAGAGAGAAGAAACAATATTTATTATCAGTAGGGGACAGAAGGCCAAGGCAGTGCCTGGCTGTAGTGTTTTTAACACCCAAAGTTGAAGCAAGGGGCAGGATCTGTCAACCTTAAATTAGCAGGGTCAAGCCTAGGTGGGACAGACAAGGGTGGAGCCAGCCTGAGGGCTGGGAGTGTGTATGGGGGGGGTACCCCCCATGCCCAGTCTGGCAGTAACACCATCCGTGGTTACCAGCTGCTGCTGCACATGCCCATGCATGCCACCTTGTGGCAGCAGCCCCTTTCTGCCCATGGTGGGGGTGGGTTTGCAGAAGAAGCCCTCTGGAGGCAAGGAAGAAGCTTCAGTCCAGACATGAGGTTTGCGGGTGCCCAAGCTGGAGAAATGCCCTGGAGCCACCCTCTCTCTAGGACATCACACCTTAACATTGTGTTGGTGGCCGTAATCCGCCAGTCCTGGGCGCCTCTGTCCAGAAGCCCAGAGGAACCTCTGACTGGCTCACAGCCCTCAGGTTATGGGTCATGAGCAGGTGGTAACGCATTATTGCTTGTTTCCTGTAGAATACCAAGGAGCTGTCAGCTCATAGGGCCAGCCCTGCCCTCTACCTCTGACAGCTGGGATGCCTCCTCAGGCTGGAAGCCAGAAAACCCCGCCAGGGTGGGAGGGGGACAGAGGTGAAGAGCTGGGGCTTATCATGCTGGGTTAGTTACGGGAGTGTGCCCCAGGCAGGGGCTGCTCCAGCTTCCCCGAGAAACTCTCAGGCAAGGCTAGATGCAGAATTGGGTCCCTGGGGATGCCCTCAGGGCCCTTCAAGACACCTCCCCACCCTGCACTGGCCAAGCACCGCCCCCCCAGCCTTTACCTGCCATGCTCATGCCCCCTCTTCAGTTTTGAATGAGAGAAACAGTCAAGTCACTGAGACAAGAAACAGGAGAGGAGGGAGGAGGCCTAGTTACCACTCACATGCCAGGGAGCCAGAGGGCAGGGTGCAGGACCTCAGCCCAGCCCCATCCTTCCTGGCCTCAGGGCCCCCAGACAAGGCTGGATGTGTGTGCAATGTGTTGGGCGGGGTGCTGGCAGGATATCTGGGAACCAGGCTGTTCTGGAACCCCTAATTCCAGGACAGGGAGGTGTCCCTGTACCCCTGAGGAGGGCACTCTGGCCCTGGCTGTTAGTGTGGATGAGGGAAGGGCCTTCAGAAAGTCAGGGGCCACACTGTCCACCTCAGGTTTGAGGCCTCTTCTCTGCCTACCCCCAACCCCCAGCCCAGCCCACAGGCCTATACTCACCTCTCGTCTGTGGCAATGGCCTCATCAAAGGCTTGAGACAGGTGCTTCAGCTGCTGGATGCCCATGGCCACAGACTCCACCTCCTCTTCCTCCTCCAAGCGCCCACCTCTGGACAGAGCAAGCACCAATCGACTGGTCAGGATGGGCATAGCAAAGCCCTGGTGGCCAGGCCTCCCCATCCTAGGCTCCCAGGGACCCGACTGCGACCAGGTGGAATCTGGACCTGGAGACCCATGCTGGCCAGACTGCCTGTCTAATCCCCATGAGGCAGGGGCCCCGTTGGTCTGGCTTGCCTCGTGGAGCAGAGAGGAGCTGGGGATGAATATGGGCTGCGGAGGGCTGCTTCCCGCTGGGAGTGCCTCCGCAGAGGAAGGAGGGGGTCCTTGGTGATCCATCTGGAGAGGCTTCTCAGCCCTGAGGCCTGGGATGAAGGGGTGGTGGTCCGCCATCTGGCCCCAGAGCTTGGTGAGGGAGCCCCTGACAGCCGGACACTCCCCCTCCTCCTTGTTGGGTGTGTGCTCCCCCCGTGGGCATGGCCCGTGTCTCTCCTCTGGCTGCCTCCCTGGCATGACTTCTGGATTTTCTGTAAAGGACAGACATTGAGTCAGACAGGACAGCTGTCCAGTGGGCATGGCTGGGCTACACCAACCCTCTGGGGGGAGGCCCGTCCTAGGTACCTGAGCCACGGATCCCAAGGCCTCCCTGGCAGAGCGGCCAGCCCCCTGTGCTCTCTCTGAGCCTTCCAGGGGCTCCCAGGAGGGCCCATCCCGAAAGTTGGCATCGAGGACTCCCAGAGGCAGGCGTCTGCTCAGGCGGGTACACAGGGTGTCCAGAGAGCTGGCTGGTGGCTTCCGGAGGTCTGGCTCTGGGCTCTGGTTCTCCTCTGTCAGCATCTGGTGGCTTCTGCGGCCTCTGGTCACTCCCAGACCCTGCCACACCGAAGTCATCCCTGACTTGGCCTGAGATCTCCCTGTGGGGCACCAAGAGCAGGGCTGTGAGCCTCCCTGAGGGGGCACTCACTAGATACATGGGCCTGCTGTGGGCAAAGGCCGGGCAGCCCAAGCTGTGCCCCCTGCCCCACCCCCCAGCCTTCTCCACTGGGGGTGGGGGTGCACAAAGAGACCTCTGTGTCCAAGGGGAGGAGCGCCCCGCCCTCACAGGGCCCCCCAGTACCAGAGCGCCCCAGGTGGGGGATGGGCGGGGAGGACAAGGAGGCCTTTGTGTGCATGGGGGGGATGTCAGAGGCCCAGTGGGACCTCTGCCCCTCTCTGCTGCCTGGGGGGGGGTGGGGCGAGTGCTGTGGAAGCTTGAGGACGTGAGAGGAGAAAGGGGGGGTCCTAAGTGGGGGGAAGAAGGGAGCTGGGGTCAGAGACCCAGCGCCCCCCTCCTTTGGGGGGGCTATTTGGGCAGGGGGGACATGGGGGACAGGAGGAGGACAAGAAAGCCTTTGGGCGTGGGAGGCTGAAGGGGGTCAGGAAACCTGCGGCCCTTGGACGGATGGGCGGGGGTGTGTGTCAGGGGCCCAGCCCTGCCCCCCAATTTGCACTGCTCCCTGCGGGGCAGTGCGGCGCCTGGGCCTCAGTTTCCCCGCCTAGCCCCAGATCCCTGTCGGTCGGGGATCCCCTACCTGCAGTGCGTCCGTGCCTGTCCCACGTCCAGCTACTCTACCCAACAGGTTCAAACTGGCCGCGGGGCCCGGACCCACCGCCCATTGGTCGAATACTCCGCCCCGGGACCGCAGTGTGTCCTCCCATTGGTCCATTGGAACCCTGCGGGAGGAATCCTCTTCTGCCATTGGTCCTAAGCTCCTCCCCCCCAATGCGCAGCCCATTGTTCCAGTGGATGTCCCAAGATGCCCCGCCCCAAACCTGCATAGCGCCTCACCATTGGGACGTTGGAGCCCAAGGGAGGAGTCCTCTCCTGCTATTGGTCCCCGCCCCGAGCTCATAGCGCTTTCGCATGGATCGGTTGGAGCGGCTTCCTTGCTGTCTGGCCCAGGGCCAAGCTCCCAGCGGGAAGCGTGGAGGCTTTGGAATGGGGTGGGGGAGGGGGAGGGGGAGGAGAACTGAGCGGGGAGAACTGCTGCCCCGGACCGCCAGAGCCGGAAGTGATCGTAGGGGCCAGTCCGCCACAAAGCGTTTCCACATTGGCCATTTCTGAAAACCCTGGTTTCAGGCTGCCCTCGAGGACTTCCTGGCCGGGCCTCTCGAACTGGTTACTGACCGTGGAACCAGGACTCCTATCTCATCATCCTCCGAAGCCGCAGAATGACCAGTGGTCTCTCAGTGGCCTTTTCTCCGTCCTCATTCTCCCTGACCTCTCTGAAGCCTGGGACACTCTCTCCTGAATTTTCTTCTCTCTGGGTTTTCAGGACATCTCTCTGTATCTCTGTGTCTTTCTCTGTCTCTGTCTCTCTCTTCTGCTTCTCCTCTGTCTCTGCTGGATCCTCCTCCACATCATGCCCTCTGACCATGGTTGTCTCTCAGGCTCTGTCCTGGGTCCTCTGCTCCTCTCCTCAGCTGCCATGCATTAAATGACCCTCTCTATGCTGACGATTCTCAGGTCTCCCTGGCCTGCCCCAGTCTCTGCTGACCTTCAATCTCGAATTTCCAACTGCCTTTCAGACATCTTAAATGGGACGTCCAGTAGATATCTTAATCTCAACAGGTCCAAAACTGAGTTTCTTGTCTTTCCCCTACACTACCCTACCCTTCTCCCTTCCCTTTTACCGTAGAGAGCATTCGCACCCTCCCAGATCCTCCGGCCAGTCATCCTACCTAGACTCCTCACTCTTTCTCTTACCCAGCTATCCAATATGGTGCCAAGGCTTGTCGATTTCACCTCTGCAACATCTCTAGTTGATTTCACCTTTGCAACACCTTTCTAATACCTCCTTCTACCCTCTGACACTGCCATCACCCTGCCGACCCTCATGTGCTTGTGGGGGGGGGGGGGGCTCTGCTTGGCTTTAGTCTCTCCCCACTCCTTCATTCAGCCACTAGTGATTTTCTTAAAGCTCAGTTCTGACCATGGCATCTTCTACTTGATAAACTCCAGGAGTCCTCTATGTACTCCAAGAACCAATACAAAATGCTCTGTTTGGCATTCAAAGCCTTTCAACGCCTGGCCCTGCCTCTCTTTCCGACTTCCTACACCTTTCCACCACATACTCTTCAGTGCAGTGACCCCCAGCCTCCTGACTGTTCATGTACAAGACCCTCCAGCTCTGGGCATTTTCTCGGGACATTTCACCAGGTCTGGAACACTCTCCTTCCTCCACGCCAATGACTGGCCTCTTGGCTTCCTCTAAGTCCTGACTAAAATCCCACCTCCTCCAGGAAGCCTTCCCCAAGCCCTCCTAATTCCAGCACCTTGTCTCTTTTCATTATCTTCTACATCTCCTGTCTAAAGTTTGCTTCGTATGTATTTGTTTATATTTTGTCTCCCCATTGGATTGTAAGCTCCTTGGGGTCTGGGACTGTCTTTTGCCTCTTTCTGTATTCCTGTCACTTAGCACCCTGGCACACAGTAAGCACCTAATAATTGTTTATTGAATGGTAGTGGATCTGATTCTTTGTGATTTTCATCCTGTGAGTAGGAGTGGAAGCCAGTGAGGTCAGTAGTTGGAGCAGAGGAGGGAGACAATTCCCGGCCTGGGGGACAGTCTGGACAAATGCCCAGAGCTGAGAGCTGGAGCATACAGAAGTTTACAACCAACAGGACAAGGGCTAACCAGGAATGTTCTGGTCAAAATCCAGAGATCCCACCTCACAAACATCCAGAATTCCAGAAGCAGCTCCAGTGAGTTTGTGACTGCACTCACCGACATATACTATAGTGCATCTGGGCAGAAACAGGAAATAGATACTTTTAGGGAATAAACCAGAAGCCTGGAACAGAGGTCAGGCAGTCATTAAACACCTTTTAAGGGCCTACTGTGTCCTGGGCACTGTGCTCAGCATGGGGGACACAAAAAAAGGCAAAAGACAGTTCCTGCCCCCAAGGAGTGCACAATCTAACTGGGAGCTGAAAAACAAACAGCTACAGACAGGATACAAAGAGGGGGCACTAGAGTTAAGAGGTGGGAGTAATCCAAGGCAGAGGCATGTCAATGCAAGTTCTGGGTCAGAATATGGGGGGAGGGGGAAAGGAGGGCAAAGGACTAGAGAGGAGGATAGTGGAGGGCAAAGGACTAGAGAGGAGGATAGTGGAGGGCAAAGGACTAGAGAGGAGGATAGTGTAGAGCTGACTTGGTTCCCCAAGGGGTCAAGATGGGGGAGGGAGGAGAGTGTGGCCAGTGCAGGGGTGACAATGGCCTGGACTCTGTTGGACCTACCCATCATGCCTTTCTTCTCGAGGAAACTCACCCTGGGGAAACCTCGTATTGGCAAGATTGAGTCAGCCTTGGTCCTCCTGGCTCATCAGTCCCCTCGGGCCCTCTGAGGGCGGTCCTTGACTGGGCAGAACTGTGGGCTCCAGGACCTCTGTTTAAGGAGGGGTTCAGCACAGTCCTCTCCCCATTTCCCAACAGCTGCACTGCTTTGGGGTGACTTTGGATTTCTCTACCTTTTGGGTATTGTCCCCCACTAGACTGCAAGCTCCTCGAGGGCAAGGACTGTCCTTTTTTAAGAATTTGCACCTGTATCCCCTGCACTTGGCCTGGTGCCTGGCATGTACTAGTCCTTGATCCATGTCTATTGACTTCACCACTGAGGAATGGAGAGTTTGGGGTTTTAAGGCAGAGAGAGAGGCAGAAGAACAATAGAATGTGATCAGATAAGGGCATGTCAGCGTTTATAAACATGGAACTGGTGCCTTTGCAGGCAATGGCGAGATCAAGGGTATGACCACCTCTGTGTAGCTCTGGTCGTGGGAAATGAAGTGGAGGAGCTGGGAGATTGGGTGTTTGAGAGAGTCTTAGTACTTGTAGGAGGGTGGGAGTTGGGGACGAAAGAAAGACTGAGGCAGGCAATAGACATTGATTGAATAAGTACTTTGTTACAGGCGCTAGTGCTGGGGATACTAGGAAAGGCAAAAGGCTTCACTGAGAAGGAGCTCACTGGCTGATGGGAGACACAACATTCACACAGAGTAAATGCAGGATGAATGAGAATCAGCAGAGGGAAGGCGCCGCCATTTTGGGGCTTGGGCAAGGTGAAACTTTGGCTGGGATGTGAAGGAGATGAGGGATGCCAGCAGGCAGAAATGAGGAGGGAGGGCATGCCAAGCACAGGTGGGAGAGTGGCCAGGGAAAAGGCTTGGAGTCAGGAGATGGAGGGCTTTGTTGGAGGAAGCTTGCTGCATTTCTAGGTACATGGTGAGAATGGTAGTATAACGCAGGCTGGAAAGGTGGGAGGCAGGTTATGAAGGGCTTTGAATGCCAGAGGACTTTATATTTGATTCTGAAGGTGATAGGGAGCCAGTGAATTTTATTGAGGAGGAGGTGACGTGGTTAGGCCTATACTTTAGAAAGACATCCTTGGCAGCTGAGGGGGAGGATGGACTGGAATGGGAAGAGACTTGGGGCAGGCAGACCAACCAGCAGCTATTACAATAGTCCAGGAGTGAGGTGAGAAGGGTCCACACCAGCAGGAGCCAGGGTCAGAGGAGAGGAGGAAGCATATAGGAGACATGAGAAATTTACCAGACGTGATGACAGGGGCAGGCACTGAACCCTCTGAGAAAGGAAGGAGGGTGTTGTGAAAGTCAGTAGGGTAACAATCACCAGAACCTGGTCGATTGAGAAATATGGGTTGAATGAACCTCAGCAGGGGAGAGGTTACTGAGTGATGGTAGAGAGAGATCCTGGAAGTGGCAGTGGGGAGCGAGGAATGTACAGCACCCCTCCCATGACCCGGGCGTCCAGGAGAATGAGTGAAGGGGCAGCCAGTGCTGGAAGGGAGGCCAGGGAGGCTCCAGCAGGAGGGAACTCAGTCTCAGGGAGAGCCAGAATATGGAAGGGCTGGGGAAGGAAAAGGTTTAAGATGAAAATGAATCTGTTGTTGTGTATCAGGCATCCCAGTGAGCACAGGGGAAGGGGTGAGTGGCTTTAGCAGGGAGGTTGGTGGAGTTGGGTTTAGAGGGAGGGGAATAAGGGAACTGTCAGTGGGGCCCAAGAATGGGCTCTGAGAAATGGCAGCTGGACTGGGATCGCCGGGATGGGGAGGGAGGGAGGTGAGAGAGGATAGGCTTGGGCTCTGGTGGCCAAGGAACAAAATGCAGAGTTGGGGGAAGCATCATAGGCCACTTTGCCCAGATTGTGGTGTTCGGGAAGAAGAGGACAAAAGGAGTGTGGAAACGTCAGTTGGGGCCAGCTGGGGGAGAGCCTTCCAAGCAAGGCTTAGGAGTTTGTACCCAACCCTAGGGAACAGGGAACCAGGGGAGTTCTTGAGTAGGAGAGTAACATGATCAGATCTGGGACTGAGATGATTTCAGCCACTCTGTCAAGGATAAATTGGAGAAAGACCAAATGGAAGACTGTGGCAGCACTGGGACCTTTGAAGTTGGGGACTCTTTCGTTTTGTGAAGGGCACTAGAGGCCACGGTAATCTGGAACTTAGCAGAATGGTCAGGATTAGAGTTTTCTGTTTGGGTGCCATCAGTAAAGAAGAAAGGGGGCTACATTTTCTTCCCTCCTACCTTTCCCCCCACCCTAACTCTGCTGAATTCACAAAAGAATAGTAGTTAACATTTACATATCACTGTGTGTCAAGACCTGTTCTAAACACTTTACAGTTATCTCATTTGAGCTTCACAATTACCCAGGGAGGGAGGCGCTTTAGGATCCCCATTTTACAGATGAGGAAACTGAGGCAGACAGATTCAGTGACTTGCCCAGGGTCACATAACCAGTAAGTGTCTGAGGCTGAATTTGAACTCAGGTTTTCCTGACTCCAGGCTTGGCATCCTAACCACCGGCACCACGTAGGTGGTCGGATTGAGAGCTGGATGAGATATAAGACATCACCAATGAGTCCAACTCCCCCGTTGTAAGAAGGAGCTGGACTAAAGTTAAGTTGCTTTCTCACGGTCACAGAGGTAGAAAAGAAGAGAGCCAAGACGCTCCTGGGTCCCAGATTTTCTAATTGTCAACCCAAGGCTCTTTCTCCTTTGCCACTGGCGATTCACCTTCAACAAAACCTTCCCTCCTCCAGAAGTCCATCATGAACCCCTCCCTCTGCTGACCTCTTCCAGCACTTCCTGTCTGGGCTCTGCCCTCAGCTTTCTGGGGACCTCAGCACTGGCCCATCTGTCTTGTGTTTTTGAGGCCATTTGTGTCTTGTCTCCCAGCTGAGCCTGACAGGAAGCGAGGTTTCTAACTCCCCATCTGCCCTTCTAATACTAGGGGGCACAATCCCCTCCTGAAAGTCTTTAGGAAGGTAATATTTCCCTCATTTTGAGATAAAGAGCCCCACCCTATCCACTAAGTCAGACAGCCTGAAAACACTCATAGAGTGCCTCCTGGACTTGTGGTGGGAGCTGGGAGGCAAAGGGCCAGCCAATTCCCCATTTTCCCACAGGACAGCTCTAGGGATCTTGTGTGCTGCTTTTTGTTGAGAAAAGTTCCTCACTGGGGACTCTTCCTCACCAGAAAAATAGAGAAGGGGAGGAGACAGGGGAGGTGGGGGAGAGAGGGAGGGAGAGAGAGAGAGAGAGAGAGAGAGAGAGAAGAGAGAGAGAGAGAGAGAGAGAGAGAGAGAAGAAGAAGAAGAAGAAGAAGAAAGAAGAAGAAGAAGAAGAAGAAGAAGAAGAAAAAGAAGAAGAAGAAGAAGAAGAAGAAGAAGAAGAAGAAGAAGAAGAAGAAGAAGAAGAAGAAGAGAAAGAGAGGGAGGAGGATGGAGGGGGAGGAGGAGGAGGAGGGAGGAGGAGGGGGGAGGGGATGAGGGGGAGGAGGAGAAGGGGAGAGGAGGAGGAGGGAGGGAGTTCTTAGGTAAAAGCAAACATTTCTTCCTTCTCTGGTTTCCATGGAGACATTTGCTGCTTGGTCAGGACTTGCCAGTTAGTACGTCACACAGAAATGCAGAGGACAGGATTTGGAGGGGACTGAGTGGGGCAGCTTCACTGAACTGTGGAAAGGGCAGGGAATGACTGGAGGATGTGGGGATACCCTGGGATCTGGGGACCTCATCCTCCCATGAGGACTCAGAGGCAGCCCGCAGAGGGCCTACTCAGGTGTATGCCTCTCCTATCTGTGCTGTCTCTCTGGCAGCCCAAAGGCCTGGGCTGTTATGGGTTTGTTCTCTGTTTTGTCTTTCATGTTGGAGCATGAGCTCTGCACATGGAGGTCAGTCTTCCTTCCATTCTGCAGATTAGGCCATTATGAATTGAGGCTTGACTCTTGCCTCAAAGGGAGGGGTTTCATGGAGGGGGGGAGGGGCAGGTGTGGGCGGTGGGATGGGGGCTTCCTGAGGGCAGCACTTGTACTTCTCCCAGTTCCCTGGGCTCCTAGGGCTTTTCCTCCCAACCTTCCTTACTCCTGAGTGCTCAGAAAAACCTATTACTTTTTTGCAGATACCCACTTGTCTAAGGAGCTGTGGAGATCAGGGCAGGCCACCACCAGATGGTGCCAGAAACTCACTTATTCTATAGGCCTTATGCATCCAAGTTATTGAGGTGGAGAGCTCTCCAAGGTGCTCAGAATTAGTGTCAATCCTGGAAGACTTGCAGCAGCTGACCCTTCCAGCACCTGGGCTGAATGTCGGGGCTGTGGAGAAGCTTAGGGAGGTGGGTGGTAGCTCCACAGCTAGGCAGACGGTACAGGACGGTCCTCTGCATTCATCAGACCCTGTGGAGTGGTGTTCAGGTCAGCTGCGGTGTCACAGTTATGGAAGGACATCTGATAACAGTGAACATTCACAAGGGCTATAAGGTTTGCAAAGCACTTTACATATGTCCTCTCACTTATCCTTACAGCAACTCTGGGAGGCAGATGCTGCTATTATCCCCATTTTACATATGAGGAAACTGAAGATAAGAGCTTAAGTGATTGCCCAGGGTCACACAAGGTAGCATCTGAGATAGGTTTCCAGCTGGACTCTTTCTAATCCCGAGGTCCAACACTTTATCCACTGTAGTGCCCTCTAGCTGCTTCCTGATAAGCTAGAGAGTACTTGGTGCTTGGGGAAGGCAACAAGGAGATTGAAGGGCCTTGAGTGCCCCAAGGATGATTAGCTCAGGGAAAAGAAGCCTCAGGAAGGATATGATAGCTGTCCATCAGGTGGGATGGGCCACCTCAGATGGTGCCAGGTCTTCGGAGGTGTTTGAGCTGAGGCTGTTGGGCCACAGATTCCCGAATTTGCCACTTATATTTCAATATGATTGGTTTCCTTTGTAATCTTGTGTATTTTATGTATTACAAAGATGATTCTGAGCAGGGGTCCATAGGCCTGAACTGGCTGCCTCCAGAGGGGTCCAGGACATACAAAGTGATGCTTCCTTAGGACCCCCTGGTCTAGAGGTTTGTTCCAGGGTTATTGAACCTTATTTTCTTTCTCACATTTTTATATTCCAGACAAACTGACTTTGCTTCCAGTTGTCTGACCTGTACTCCTTTGTACAGGTCTCCATGCCTGGAATGCTGCCCATCCTTCCACACCTCTGACTCTTAGAGAATTCTTATGTTCTTTAAGGGTTAGCTCAAGGCCACCTCCTCCCTGAGACCTTCTCTGATGCCCCTGGATGTATCCTGAGAGCCCTTCTCTGAAATTACTTCATAGGCTAAAGGACAGCACAGTGGACAGAACATTGGACATGGAGCCAGGAAGATATGGACTCAAATGCTGCTTCTTACCCAGTTATCAACTGTCTCTTTAGTAAGACTGACTCAAGGAAAGTCACTCACCTCTGTCAGTTCTGTCACCTTATCTGTCAAATGGGGACAATAATCACATCTACCTGCTGGGGTTGCTGAGATGCTCAAATGTCAAGAGCATCAAAAACCTTAAATGGCTATGATTATTATCCTTGCCTTGTTGGGTGACCTTAGGCAAACTCCATCCCTTCTCAGCCTTGACCTCCTGGCCCAGAGAGTCCCTAAGGCCCCTTCTAGCTCTGCGATCCTGGATTTACTCCATCATTTCTCGAGTCTTGTATTTGTATGTTTTTTTTTTGTGGGTTCTTCCGACCTGCCCAGTCAGACTGAGATTTCCCTGAGGGCAGTCAGTCATTAAGCATTTATTAATGGCTTAACTAGGTGCCAGACGCTGTGTTAGGCACCAAGGCTACAAAGAAAGGCAAAAGACAGTCCTTGCCCTGAGGGAGCTCCAAGTCTAAAGGCAGAGACAACGTGCAAACAATTATGTACAATCAGCTCTCACAGGATGAGCTAGAGATGATCACCAAGTGTCAGGAACCATGCCTTCTTGTTTCTTTTCCACCCCTCCCACCTGAGCTTTGACTAGGGTATCAGCTAGGTGGCTGTCCAGGGTGGGACACAGAAGAGTGACATATTTGAAGTACTAGGGTTCTAAATGCGCATGTTCTCTCCCAGATCCACTCCCCAGGGTAGCATGGGGCCATTTATTTTGTGTTAAGTCAAACTGCCATTACAGAGAAGGCTCGAAGCCTCAAGGGACAGTAATGCACAGGGGTAGAGGAATTTCCAAAACCTGAGGTCACTCTCTCATGACTGGTGAGTGAATGAGTGTCAGCTTGGCTGGCTCACTCTGTCTAGCTCAATCAGATCATGCTTCCAATACCATCCACTGTCCGTCTGGAGGTCTTGCTCTACCTCCTCTCCCTTCCCATCTCTGGGCTCAGTAATGCAGGGGACCTGCTCAGTGGGTGCCTCTGAGTGCATGACCTTAGTTAGGATTTAATCTCTTCCTCTAGAAAGGTGCAATTCTTGGAGTGCTGAGCCCCATGGGGGCTGTAGAGGACAAATCCTGACCTTCCCTCTTCATGCGTTCATGCTAAGCTTCCTGTAATCAGAGCTGGATTAGCACGGCCATCCAGCTGGCTGACAGAGAGCAGACAGGGCCCCTTTCACTGTTATCCAACCTTACCAACTGACACGGTCCCACCAAGCATGGAGAAAACCATGCTACTGAATGTGGAAGGCATTAAGAAGACCATTCTTCATGGAGGGACTGGGGAGCTCCCTCACTTCATCAATGGATCCAGAGTAAGTCAGAGGCCTGGGCTTGGGACAAGGGACAGTGGGGATGGGGAAGGGGCAGAAAACTCCTGTCTAGGACGTTGATCAGGGAACAAAAAACCATGAACTGCTAATTAAAGTGGCAAAGTCTGACCATTCCTGGAACTGACATGGCTGTGTCTAAAGGGCACCCACATGACTGATGAATTCATGTGGGAATGGGAGGCACCAATTCAACCAGGGCTCTAAAGTGATAGAGGGAGCTAGATGAATTTTTGACCCTCTATCCTGCTCTTCTGGGGCTGGTCTACCCAGCTGGGAAGGGTTCAGCTTATGCCCCAGCCACAGGCCTGCCTCAGTGACAGTTTTGGAGGCCTTTTCCCAAGGAAGGAAACTCCTGTCTCCCCCCCTTCCCCCTCCTGACAAGGCTCACAGATATGCTTTCCTTCAGTTGGTTACCAAGACTGCAGAATCTGGCTTGAATAGAGGATGAATGAATCCAAAAAACCTAATGAGTGAGAGAAAGAGGTCAGAGAGGAAAACATGGTTTGTACAGGTTCTGTTGTTTTTGTGAAAAAGGTGACATTTCATTTCCGAACTATGAAATGTGATGAGGAACGGACAGTCATAGATGACAGCAAGCAGGTCGGCCAGCCCATGCACATCATCATTGGAAATATGTTCAAACTGGAAGTCTGGGAAATCCTGCTGACCTCAATGAGGATCGGAGAAGTGGCTGAATTCTGGTGCGACACAATCGTAAGTGCCCTGCACCACTCCATTTACATCTCAGTGCTTCCTACCAGTCTCCACAAGTTTCTGCCTTGTGGACCAGAGACATCACAGAAAAGTAACTTTAAGCTCACTTCCTCATTTGCATCTATTATAAAAGCAACAACACTTTCTGCAGGGAATCTCCCCATGATCTCCCATAGTTGAAAACCTTCTTTAAACAGCCATTCATTTCCAGGGTGCTCAGCCTGGTACTGACATCCCTCCCTCGAGCTTTTCTTAGTCATTAATTATCTCCTGGGCCTTCAGTCCCTCTCACATGTGGGGAGGCATCTCCTGGATCCCTCACCTCCCAATGTCTAATAAAGCCAGGTCGCGCTACTCCACTTCACCACTAGTTGCTGCCAACTAAAGCAGAGATTCCTGGAATTTATAGAAGGAAGGATTAGACTGAGTTTCTTCATCTCCTTCAATGCCTAATTCCCCGGGGAGGAAACTGAAGCCCAAGGAGAAAAAATGTCCTGTGTGGACTCAGGAAGATTCCTGACAAGGATGTTGTCTCACCTGCAGATTCCTTAAGTTTAAGACTTGGAGGAATTGTCAATCAGTCAGTCAATAAATATATATTAAGCACCTACTACTAGCCAGACACTGTGCTAAGCACAGGGGATACAAAGAAAGTCACTTCCCTTAAGTGGCTTACAGTCTAATGGGGGAAACAAATCTGTACAAACAAGCTATAGACAAGATAAATGGAAATCGTAAACAGAGGCAAAGCACTGGAATTAAGAGAGGCTTCCTGTGGAAGATGATATTTTACTTGGGACTTGAAGGAAGCTGGGGAAGCCAGAAGGTAGAGATAGAGCAATCCAGGAATGAGGGATAGCCAGAAGAAATGCCCAGATCTGAGAGATGGAGGCTCTTACTTGAGGACCAGGCAGGAGGCTGATTGAAGAGTGCATGGAGGGAGGGGGTGTTGGAAAGGGGGGGATGGCTAGGTTAGGAAGGGCTTTGAATGCAGGAGGTCAGTCCTCTAAGTCTAGAAGCATGGCTATGAGTTTGCTTAAAATGAAGGGTGCTTGTGCAAGGTACTTCTGGGAAGACGCTGCCATAGAAAGCTTGCCTCCTCTCTCTGAGGCCAACCTGGACACTGAGGTTCTGGCTACAGAATACATTTCAGGATGGATGGCTTGCTTTGTTTTCAGCCCCCCTCCCTTTTGGCCATCTCTTGATTCTTGCAGCTATTTCTGTATCTGCTTCTTTAGCAGCCTAACCTAATCTTAATCGGATCACTGGGGGGGGTCAGCCTCTCCTAAGACTTGGCCCATAGGCTGACCTATTTTTTGCCCAGGCCTGGTGAGAATGGGAGGGACAGTGGCCCCACTACAGACTATCTCTGTGGCCTTACATGGAGCAACGCATCCCTTGGGGCCTCAGTTTCTTAATGGGATCACAACTGTGTATTTACTTGGTTTGGTTTTTCTGTTTATCTGTGAGTTTCTTTCCCCACCCCTACCCCTAGCCACCAAATCTCAGAGATGCTGATTGATTCACAGAGTTGATATAAAGAAAGTGCCTGGCAAACCCCAAAGCAACCTAGAAATGGGAGCTAGAAAAAGGGCCACACTTCACTGACAGCAGCCCCTTGGAGGGGAAGGGGCAGGGTTGGGAGAGGATAAGGCCCTGAAGCCTGCCTCTTTCAGAGGCAACAGCTCGGCAGTTGCTTAGAGTCAGTCTTTGGCTTCATGGTGACATAAAATCAAGTTAGCCCAAAGAACAAGGGGGTCAGATCCCTGGCAAGACTGGGTGTGGGAGTGGAGCAGAGCTCTGGTGAGGGTGTTCAGAGGGATTCAGCTGGGAGGCAGGGCTCAAGGTTGGCAGAGGGGCTGCGGGGGAGGGTCAGACTCCTGGCAGGAATCAGGGTGGGCAGAAGGGCTCAGGGAATCTTAGTCTCTCTGCACATGCTTCTTGCCTAGTTCACTTCCTTCTCTCCTGTGGATCACACACAGGCTCTTTTGGCTGGACAGAAGCAGCAAGGGGGCAGCTCCAGATGTTGTTTCATCCATTCCAACTGTGTAATGGGCCAGAACTGGTCATCATTATTGTCAGCGGATCTACAAGTATCAGCTCCAGGCGCTCAACCTGGCCCAGCCTTAATCCTCACTGAGCAGCCTCTGGCCTCCATATGTTCCTTTCATCTCACAGAGAAGTGGGAGGGCTGTGTTCACATCTCATCTGAGAGCTACTAATGTTGCAGCTAATGACTGCTGGAGGGTCTTGGCAGGTCCCAGAACCCTCCCCCTGCTTCCTCCGGCCCAGCCATCTGATGGATGACTGATGGCAAAGTGACAAATTCTGAAATGCATCCCCAGCATCCTTAGTCAGCCAGTGACCACTTTCCTTGATACTGCCCAAGCCAGTTTTCATTCCCAGGCCTCTCCAGACCTTAGACCATTTGGGCCTCACAGCTCATTCCTGACTCCAGAGATTTATTTACTGTACCTCAACACCTCCAATAGAGTTTCTTTTTTCTCTTTTTAACATATATTTAAAATTTTTTTTACCGATCATTTGCTTTTTATATTACCTTCATTTCCAAATATATATTTTCCCCTCCACATTCACAAAATCAGATTAACCAACTGTGACAATATATATCATGTTCCACATCCATAGTCCCCCACCTTTACAAAGGAGGGGCACTTTTTAAAAAAATTTCAGGCAATTGGGGTTAAGTGACTTGCCCAGGGTCACACAATTAGTATGTATCTAAGGCCAGATTTGTACTCAGGTCCTCCTGTCTCTGGGGCCAGTGCTCCATCTACTGCACCACCTAGCTGCCTTTGGAGGTACACTTTCTCATTTCTTCTTGGAGACTAAGCTGGGTTGATTCCAATGGTCTTTCTAACATTTTGTTTTTAAAATGAATTTTTTTTTGGGGGGGGGAGTCATGAACTTACCACATGGCCACAAACATGAACATGTTGACATGCAACGAACTGAAAAAGAGCTTTGTCTACAAAACTGTGAAGCTCCACTGATTGCAGCCTGATTTTCCTGTTTAACCCAGTATCACTGATTGTGCCTGCCTGTGTCCCCTGAACTTCCTTCTGCTCTCTTTGGAATATTTGTCAAATCTTTCATTGCTGCTCTTTTCTTCTTCTTCTTCTTCTTCTTCTTCTTCTTCTTCTTCTTCTTCTTCTTCTTCTTCTTCTTCTTTTTTTTTTGTCATTACTATCTTTACCCCTTTGCTCATCCAGAAAAAGCCCTTCCTTGTAACACATAGCTAGGATTAAGCAAAACAAAACCCACACTGACCATGTCTGAAAACACCAGTCTGCTTCGGTACCCCTATGCCATCATCTTTTTCTCTGCCCAGAGGTGGGAGACAAACTTTATTATCTATCGTGACATTAAAGGAACTCTGAAGTCTTTCATAGTTGGCTTTCTTTACAATATTGTGGTCAGTGTCTAGGGCACCTAGGTGGTGCTGCAGATAGAGTGCTGGACTTGGAGTCAGGAAGACCTGAGTTCAAATATGGTCTCAGATGCTTACCAGCTCTTTGACTCTGGGCAAGTCACTTAACCACATTTGCTTCAGTTTTCTTATCTATAAAACAAGCTGGAGAAGGAAATGGCAAACCACTCCAGCATATTTGCCAAAAATACCCCAATTAAGGTCATGAAGAGTCAGATACAACTGAACAACAACAACAATAAAAGTCAGTGTTTAAATTGTCATGCTTCTGCTCCCTTCACTCTGAATCAGTTTGTACAAGACTTCCCAGGTTTCTCTTTACTCATAATTTCATCCTATTTTCATAATTCTCCTAGGTTTCTCTTTATAATTTCATTCTCTTTTCATCCACTCTCTTTTAAAAATTCCTTATGATTCAATGGCATTCCATTATGTTATTATACCATAACTTTTCCAGCCAGTTCTCAATTTATAGACATCCCCTATGTTTCCAGTTCTTTGCTACAAAATAGTGCTGTTCTGGATATTTTTGTGCGTATATGTGCTTTCCATCTTTCTGAGATCTCTTTGATGTTACAGGCCTGCTAGTGGTATTGCTTGGTCAAAGGATAATAGATAGTTTAGTGACTTTGGGGGCATAATTCCAAAGTGCTTTCTGAAATGACTGGATCAATGCAGTGCACTAGTATGCCCATTCATTTACAGTCTCTCCAGCACTTCCATTTTCCTTTTTTGTCATCTTTGCCAACCTGATGAGTATAAAGTGGTATCTCAGAGTTAGTTTAATGTGCATTCCTCTAACAATTAGTGATTTGGAACATTTAAAAATGATTGTAGATAGCTTGCATTTCTTCTTTTGAGAAATGCTGTCAGTATCCTTTGACTATCTATTGGGGAAAGACTTTTGTCCTTATACATTTGAATGAGTTCCCTATGTATCTCAGATAGCATACCTTTATCACATAAAGTTGCTACAAAGATTTTTTCCCCAGTTAACTAATTCTCTTTTAATTGTAGTGATTAATTTTGTTTGGGTAAAAACTTAAAAAAAATTCTTTTGTAATAAAAGCTGCCCATTTTTTCTCCTATGCTACTTTATCCTTTGGTTAGCTAAGAAAACTTCTCTCCATAGTCATGAAAGGTCTCCTTCCCTATCCCTCCAATTTGTTCATTGTACAATCTTTTTGTATCTAGGTCATGTAACCATTTGGAGCTTATGGTGGTATCTTGTGGGGAATATTGGTCTAAACTTAATTTCTGACCAACTAGTTTTCTAATTTCCCAAGAGTTTTGGCTGTCATTGAATAACATGTCCTTATTTCAGGAGGTGGAGAAGGTTTAGGGTTATGCTATACTACTGAGCTCTTTGGCTTCTGGAGGTTGGACATGTCATCTTCCCCCAAACTGGATTTTCTATCTTTAACATTAATTCCCAAGTAATTTGGGTGATTCCTGCCAAAGCAGCCTAGGTGAAGCTCTGGTGCAGTTAGCAATGCCCCTCCTGGCCACCACCTTTTATCCACTATTCCCCTGGAGATCTCCAACAGGTTTGCAAAGCCAACTGCTCTATTTTTGTTGATGCCTACTTTGCTGTGGGAAGAATGTAAGAGCTCTGGACTTGCACTCAGAGGACCTGGATTCAAGTATTGCCTGGATGGCCTTGGGCAAGTAGCTTCACATCTCTGAGCCTCAGTTTCCTTATTTGTAAAATGAAAGAGTTGGACTAGCTGACCTCTAAGTGTCCTCCCAGTACAAATCTATGCTGCTATGATCTACTATGGATGCTATCTCTGGCCCTAGAAAGAAGGGAAGGCTATGAGCTGGGCCAAGAAGAGTGTGGAGGAGTGGGTAGGGGCTTGGGCTGGCCTTGGAGATGCTCTCCTCTTGCTAGGGAAGATGCCTTAGGCACCCATCCCATCCACAGTCTCTCTCTGTCTCTGTCTCTGTCTCTCTCTCTCTCTCTCTCTCTCTCTCTCTCTCTCTCTCTCTCTTCTCTTCTTGCTCCCAGCACACTGGTGTCTACCCAATCCTCTCAAGGAGTCTGAGGCAGATCGCAGAAGGCAAGGACCCTACAGAGTGGCATGTTCACACATGTGGTCTGGCCAACATGTTTGCCTACCACACACTGGGCTATGAGGACTTGGATGAGCTGCAGAAGGAGCCCCAGCCCCTGATCTTCATCACAGAACTCCTCAAGGTGAGGACAGAGGCAGGGAGATGTGTAAGTCTTGGTTCCTAGGAAGCAGGTGGTACAGGAGGGCCCCACCCACACTACCACCCTGGAGGAGCAGTCAGGGAAGCTGAGGGGGATAGGCTGTGCTGGAAAGACCTGCCTGGTGGCTGCAAGCATGGGGAGGCAAGTACCTTGAGAAGCTCCTTCTCAGGATGGGAGGAGGAGAGTCTGAGGAAAGGCTCTAATTCCTTCCACATTTCCTCATCATTTGAATTTCTCCTTAGAGTTTATGGCTTGTTGCCCATTGAAACATCTGATTGGGTCTCACATTTTTAATTCATCGGGTTTGGCTTCCTCTGTTGGTTCTACAACCTTTTCAATAAGCATCTCATTTCTGTGCCCCTTGCCCAACATTTGGCATCTTGCCTTGGGTCTGCTACAGAACTGAGAGAGTCTATCTAGATGCATCTGGCCTCTCTCATCTAGCCCCTGATTTGAGCTTCCTGGGTGGGGTTAAGGGGTCAGGCTGAGGCAGAGACTGGGGATCTTCCCAAGGCTAGAAAATGGGCTCAGTGTAGATCCCTTCAAGCAGGTCTGAAGCCATGGTCCTCACTGACCCCATGAGCACTTCTCTGTAACCACTGAGCTCCCTACTTAAATCAACCAGACTCAGAGCTCTTCCTTGAACTTGGCCTCAGGGACAGAGGAGAAGGAGGCCTTGCCGTGCTGCTGCCCATTCCCAAGTATTTGGAAGCCTGGGCTTGAGAGCCTGTAGAGACAGCCAGGGTAGGGGAGGCTCTCCAGGGGCTGATCCCCAATGTCTGGCTCATCCTGGGCAGGTGGAAGCCCCAAGTGATTATAAGAGAGAAACCTGGAGCCTCACTAATGATGAGAAGATGCGCGTCGTTCCTATCCTCCATGGCGATGGCAACCGTCTGTTCAAGCTGGGGCGTTACGAGGAAGCTGCCGCCAAGTATCAGGAAGCCATCATCTGCCTGAAGAACCTGCAGACCAAGGTGAGGGTGGGCAGGCAGTCTGGTCTCTGTCCTCAGCTCCTAGGCTGCAAAGGTCACTGGGGAATGAGCCTGGGGGGACCAAGCCATCTGAAGCTGTCTAGCCAGACATGAAATACCCCAGGAAAAGTGGCACATTCAGCCTGCCATCGGGCCAGGCCACACCTATAACACTGGACTCCTGGTCGAGATTTTGAGGCTGACCCTCGTCTACATGGCCTCAGAGCCCTCTGGCTGCATGTGAGCCCCCCAGCCTACCCCAAGCCTGGATGGTGGCCTCAGAAATCCTCCACGGGAGATGAAAGCCTTCCTGTTCATCAGGACCCAGCTTGTAGAGATGTCTCCATGTGGTTCATCCGTGCAGCAATCACCCCATAGCTTTTCTTCTGATTCATGGGGGAGGCAGGAAGGGAGCAAACATTTATTAAACATTTACTGTGTGTATGGCACCATGCCTAACACTTTACAAATATGATCTCGTTTGATCCTCACAAAAATCCAGGGAATTAGGTGCTGTTTTACTGTTCCCATTGTACAGATGAAGAAACTGAGATAGACCGAGGTGACCTGAGACCTGTCCAGGGTCACACAGCAGTTAAGTGTCTGAGGTCATATTCGAACTCAGATCTTCCTGATTCCAGGCCTAGCGCTCTGCTAACAGTGGTGCCCCCTAGCGGCCCCAGAGCAGCTGCTCAGAATCTCTGAGTGTAAGAGAAGGGGATCCAGAGGGACTTTGAGTGGGAAAGCCTGTCAATGGGCCTTTTAACAAGAGGCCAGTGTAGTTGACATGCTCATGTGCCCGCACACATGCACACACATTCATGCACACAGGCTCAAATTCCAGTGACAAGGGTCACTGCAGGAGCAGACACACAGGGGACACAGACAAGAGGTATGATGGAAGCAGCCAGCATTGTGGGGCTCAGTCAGCTGGTCACTGAACTGGCGTTCAGTCATTGGGAATGAATTTGGAATGAACCCAGGCCTCAGTTCTCCTTGGTATATGTTTTCTGAGTCTGTGTGGTCTTTGGAGCAGTGTGTGTGCATGTGTGTATGTGTGTGCTTGCACTTGTGCATACAAGTGCACACATGTGTGCATGTATGTGCTTGTGTGCACATGTATGCGCATGTGTGCATGTGTGTTGGGGGGAAGCTAGTACATGCCTTGATGGCTCTGGGAGAAACTCTCTCCCATTCGCCAGAGAAATCTCCAAAACAGAAAATCAACCTGAGGACAGCCGAGGGGGCCCCAGGATGACCCGGGTGGGGGGAGCAGCCTTCCAGGCCCACTCTGCAGAGCTCTGGCTGTTTGGTCTCCCAGGTCCTCCCTAGACCTCTGCTATAGCCCAGTCCTGGGCTGGGGGTGCCCACTGCAGAGAAGGGGCTGCACCAAGCCTGTGGACCTTTTCCCTGTCTCTCCCCCTCTCTTTCCTTCCCCACCCCATCTTTCTGGCTCTGTCTTCATCTCTCTTTCTCTTCCTTTTCTCTGTCATTCTCTCCTGTCTTTCTCCCCCTCTCCTCTTTCCCCCACTCCTCTCTCCTCACCCCATCTCTGTCTCTGCCTGTGTCTCTCTGTGTCTCTCTCTCTCTGTCTCCTTATCTCTGTCTCTGTCTCTCCCCTTTCCTGTCTTTCTCTATTTTCTCTTCCCCCTCCTCCCTCTTTCTTTCTCTTTTTCCCTCTCCCCTCCCCCATCTTTGCATGTCTGTCTCTGCCCCCCCCCCCATTCTAGGAGAAGGCTTGGGAGGTTCAGTGGCTGAAGTTGGAAAAAATGATCAACACCCTGGTTCTCAATTACTGCCAGTGCCTCCTGAAGCAGGAGGAGTGCTACGAAGTGCTGCAGCACACCAACGACATCATCCAGCACCACCCAGGTCCAAGCTGGCATCAGGGAGGAGGGCGGGGGGAAGGGGTGTGGGGGAAGTCCCCTGGTGCCTCCTCCTGTTCCTCCCCTTCCTCCTCCTCCTCTTCCTCCTCCTCCTCTTCCTCCTCCTCTTCTTCCTCTTCCTCCTCCCCTTCCTTTTCCTCTTCCTCTTTTTCCTCTTCCTTCTCTTCCTCCTCCTCCTCCTCATTCTCCTCCTCTTCTTCCTCCTCCTCTTCTTCCTCCTCTTCCTGTTATTCCTCCTCCTCCTCCTCCATGAATTTGCCCAGGTTTCCCCACAATTCCTCCATCAGGGAGTCCTCCCTCCAATCCCACACATGCTGGAGGCCTCCCTCCTGCCTTCACTGGCTATCTGAAAGTAGGTGAAGGTTGGGATGGTGAGATGGAACCCAGCTTTGTTCTTCTTGGCTCTAGAGGGCAGAAGAGCCAAAAGGCAGATTGAGGCTATAAGGCAGGAAAATCTTTGCAAGCATGAGAGCTGTCCCAGCATGGAAGGAGCTACTTCAGTGGGTGGTGGCCTCCCTCTCCATGGAGGTCTTCAAGCAGGGGCTGCAGGAACCCTTGTTGGGGATGGTCAGGCCTAGGTTAGGTCTAGGAGGACTCTGAGGTTCCTTTACTCTCTTAGATTCTGTGTTCTGAGTGAAATCTGAACCTGAAATGTGATTCCATGAGTGAACTGACAGAGAGGACCTCATAGCCAAGTGTGAGTGAGCAGCTTGTTTAGCCATGACTCTAGCTGCCTTCTCCTTGTCCTCTGTCCCAAGGCCACTGTTTGGGATCAGAAGTGCTACTATAAGGACAATAGTGTGCGGCGTTTAGGTAGACCCTCCTCCAATCCTTGTCTCCTGCAGGTATTGCAAAGGCCTACTATGTGAGGGCCAGGGCTCATGCAGAGGTGTGGAATGAAGCAGAGGCCAAAGCGGACCTGCAGAAGGTGCTGGAGCTGGACCCTGCCATGCAGAAGGCAGTGAGGAAGGAGCTGAGGGTTCTAGAGATCCGGATGGAGGAGCAGCGGGAGGAGGAGAGGCGCCGATGCCGGAACATGCTGGGCTAAGCCTGGAGAAGGGCCCAGGGCAGGGAGCTGCCTGCTGGTCTCCATACCCTGCTGAGGCTGTGCTCACAACACCAAGGCAGGAGGGACTGGGTGATGGGCCTACTGACCTATAGTTTGCTTGTTGTGTGTAGTGTTTGAAAGCACTGAATTCTTTCCCAGAGGGTCCCATGGTGGAGCAGCCCTGCTCTGACCCTCCTTCACCGGAGAAGGTACTCCAGTAGCAGGGCAGGACTTCTCTGGGCACTCTCTGGGCTGGACAGCTTTCAGTCACGTTGCCGGTATATCTAGCTCTCAATGTTCTGCTGTGCATTTAGAAATAAAAATGAAACCATTCTCAGGTCCCTCTGTTCTATGACACCAGGGTCCAAAACTCAGATCTCTCTGACACCCCTCAGCAACCCGCTGTAGGAGGGCTCTTCCTGCCCCCACCCCCACTGCCCATGGATTCTCCGGGTTTCAGGCACATGGCACCATTCCACAATTCATTGAAAGAGACTGAGTGCCTTATCCTATTCTGGGTGCATTTGGGCAGTGGTGAGATCATGAAAAGCCACTAAGTCCTCTGGGAATTCCTGGCCTGGTTGTGCATAGAGGAAGTTCAGACAAAAGCCAATCAGAGGAGGCCCAGGGCAGGGCAGGAGCAAAGGCTACCATGGGAATGAAAGGCTGGAACAGTATAAATGAAATATTTGCTTTGGATGGAGAAGTCAGATGGCTTCTCCTCTCAGGGAGCTCGCATTCTAGTGAGGGAGGGCCAGCCAGCTAGAAGTGGCTGCTAGGGGGCACTGAGGATAAAATCAGAATCAGGTAGACCTAGGTTTGAATTTTGCCTCAGACACCTAGGAGATAGCTATCCTGGCAAGTCACTTGACTGCTCCCAGCCTCAGTTTCCTCATCTGTAAAAGGAGAATAATGGGCAGCTAGGTGGTGCTGTGGCTAGAATGCTGGGTCTGGAGTCAGGAAGACCTGAGTTCAAATCTGGCCTCAGATGACTTCCTACCTCTGTGACCCTGGGCAAGTCATTTAACTGTGTTTGCCTCAGTTTCCTCATCTGTAAAATGAGCTGAAGAAGGAAATGGAAAACCACTGAAGAATCTCTGCCCAGAACACCCCAAATGGGTCATGAAAGAGTCAGACATGACTGAACAACAACAATGAAGTGCAGATACCAAGAGCACCTCCCTCCCAGGGTGGCTGTGAGGACTGAATAAGGGAACCTACGTAAAGCACTTGGCAGACCTTAAAGGCTCCCAGGCTCTGTGGTCTTTAATGCACAATGAGATGTGGATGGGGATCTGTGGATGGGGATCTGTGGATGGAGATCTGTGGGTGGGGATCCGTGTCCTTTGGCATCCATCACTCCTGTGGATATGACCACACCCCCTTCACCACTGGACAGCCCAGCCATTCTGAAGGAGGATTTTCTTTTTGGGTCCTTAGGAGATGTGGCCACTGGGGGCGGGGGTAGTCTGCAACACTGGACCACCTAGAACCCGGCCCCTAGCTCAGGTACCTAATGCATGTGGCTCAGCCAACATTGTGCTCACTTTGACTGAATCAATGAGAAAGAGCACATTAGTCCAAAGTAAAGGATACTTAATTAAATTATATTGAAAAATTAGTGACACCAAAGAGACTCCTATTCTCAGCCACACCACCTGTGGGAGAGGACACACAAGTAAACAGCACACCTGAGCAGAGGGCATACATGGCAGCTGGACACACAAAGGGCACACCCATGACCAGGAAATGTGTACCTCTTATTCATATGGCCAATGTGGCATAGCCCTCTGATGCTTCAGAGTCACTGGTGTCCTCTGGTGACACTGTCATTCTGGCCTCTGCTGATGGCCCCACTTTCTCCATCTGCTTGGTGGCTGGGCACTCATCTCCCTGAAGCCTCCCTCAGCTTTCCATTTGTGATCAGGAGTAGATGACCTGCCCCTTGGAAACCTATTCAGCCTTTCAGTACTCCTGCTCAGTCCTGTCTGAGCCAGGTTCTCTTCTCTTCTCTGCCCACACTGTCTCTCTGGGTAGTCTCACCTCTGGCTTCCTCTCACCTCTAGGATTCCAACTCTCAAATCTCAGAGGGAATTCTCTGATCAAGTGGATGAGCATTCAGGGTAGTCAGCTCTTGTTTGGGCCTTTGGTTTCCTTGGTTGAAGATGAGTTGATTGGCTCAGACTATTTGGGGTCAGGGCCATCCCCTTGTTCTGCATCTGTACAAGGGGGTCAGATGCAGTCAGCCCTTTTTGGAAGGTGGACCAGACAGCCATGGAAGGAGGAGCGGCCACTAGGGATGGACAGGCTCATAAATATACATTAACCACTCCCTTGGTTGCATGTTTCATCCACATCACCTGAGAGGAGATTAAAGATTCCAGCCTCCCAGAAAGCAAATGAGGAATTCCTTGGCAGAGCCACCCTCCTGGGGAGAAGAGGATTGTACCATGAGACTGAAGGAGCAGCAATGGGATAAAACCACAATAAAGGGGAGATTGGGAGCAAAACCTGGCCTTTGCCCCACTCCCCATGAGCTACTGGGACAGTGTGAGTGTTGTGGGAAGGGAAAGGAGGGGAGGAATGAGCCAAAGAGATAGGATGGGCCAAGGCCTTTATCCAAGATTGGGCTCGGTCTGTTTAAGCCCAGAACCTGGAATAGTGCCCCATGGTTTAAACCACTCCTACATTCCAGCTCTAAAAATTCTTCTGAACTTGAGCTTTGCATCTTCAGCTGCTTACAGGACATGTCCTCTGGGATTCCTCATTGGCACCTCAAACTCAACATGCCCCCAGAGAACCCCAGCACCCTTCTCCTCCTCTTCCTCTTTCTTCTTGCTCTCTTCCTCCTCTCCTACAACCCCCCAGGGCAGGGGGTAAGAGTCCCTTTGAATAGTTCTCATCCCAGCACTAGCAGGAACTTAATCTGGATCACTAGATGGCCTGACTAACCTTTTGTCAAATTCTGGGCCACTTTGAATCAGAACATAAGGAACTGGACCAGGAAGACATTGAGAGACAAGGAGTCTAGTCTTGGGTCTGACACTAATTCATCTTGTGTTCTCTGGCATGTCCTTTATGGTTCTTGTGCCTCAGTTTCCCCTGCTGGAAAATGAGGAGGGCACTTCATCATCCTTGAATCCTGGGCTTCCTCTTTTGATGTGGGCACCTGGAAGGTAATGAGGCATTCTGGACTTTATCTTTCACTGCTAGAAATGGTACTTTTGGCTGTCTCCATAATCATCAGTTCCTGACACTGAGAAGTGACAGGTAATTCTTATTATGGAGATGACTCCCTTCAACAAGGTCCTTAAAATAACCTCCAAGGATTTGCAAGGAGCCTTCCATTTGAGGATTAATTATGCAGCCCTCTTTTCAGGCCATCTGGAGGCAATCAGAACAAGAGAAGACAGTTGTCTTTGTTAATTATCAAGAACAATTGTTGGCACCCCCATCCCGGTGCTCGCCAGGGCTGTCTGCCTGTGTGCTCCTCTCTCATCTGTCTTCAGCAGGACCAGAAAATTGTGTTCTTTATGGGAGAGGATGCTTCTCCAGCTCCTTAGTCCCACTGGCAGCAGAAAGATGCCTCTATAGTGTAGATGGGCTGAGCTCATCAGTCTACAGTCCAGACAGCACCCCATCTGTGGCTGAAGTTGGGGCCAGTCTGTGCTCTGGGTAAGGAGTCAAAGGAGCCCTTGGGAAGCAGGCAGGGGTGGCATCTGCCTTTGTGTTATCATGTATGTAGCCCTGGGAAGACCCCCTCCATCCCCATCTCTCCCATCCTTTTATCATTAGTGCCTGCAATTCAGCTATTGTAAATGGATTTGGTTGAAGAAGATTTAGCCTTAAGGAGAAAATGTGTAGGGGAAAATGCTAGCTTAAGCATTTGATGTTGTAGGTGTAGGTTCATTGTAAGGTATGGAAGAATCCAAACCTTCTCTTCAGCTTGTGTTGACCTGTGCCCTGTGTGACATGTGCAGGCTGGGCTCTTGGTAGACATTGGAAGAGGTGGTGTTTCACTGACCCTCCTTCTTTGACTGTATTCACTAAATGGGTGTGGGGGTGGTGGTGGTAGTAGAGAGGTTTAGGGTCAAATAAACAGCCTGAACATGTGATACTAAACATAGGCAGAGTGAGAACATAAATACAGGGTTGCAGAACAAAGGTTATCAGCTCCACTCTGCCTTTTCAGTGTTGCTAAAGTAAGACTTCAGTGTGATCTGCATGGCCAGTGCTACCTGCCAGAGGCATGATGGGAAGAGAAAGGAAAAGTTTCTCCTAAGGGACAGCTCTAAGGGGGTGGATACCGAGGTGGAGACAAAGCAGTTCGAAGGACAGGCTTGACCTAAATACTTTGGTTGGATGGCTGGGTGGGCCTGTGGGGCTGACTCACAAAAGAGTTGATAGCCTTAGGGCTGTGAGTTACCTCACCAATGAGCCTTTTGGGAAGGGACTGTAGTACAGCTATTTAGTGGGGAGCCAGCAGATGACAGTGCAGCAAAGAAGACAGCTAAGCACAGTTCAGCCACAACTCAGTGGAAAAGCAACCCAGCAGGTAACATCAGTAGACCAGCACATGGCATCAGCATATTCAGAGAAGGTTTGAGTGATGGTTTTAGAGGAGAGGAGGGTCGCAGCTGGAATCCAGTGAGTTCTCCAGGCTATGAATATTCCCTGATTAGGTGTATTACATGTGTGTTTCCTTTCCCATACATGTTCCCTTGTTTTGTGGGAAAGCATGCCCCTATGTGCATGGAAGGTTTTTTCTTGTTACTTACTTTACTGTTTGGGTTTCACTAAATGCCCTTTGCTTTGTTAATGCTTACTCTGATTTGGTTTGGCAGAAGAGAATTTCTGGGGGGACTTGTGAGCTGGGGTTTTGAGAACTGACCCAAGCAAGTCATTCTTTGAATGAAGATGTAGCTTCCATTGGCCTCCATTCAAGAGAAGGAGGGTTATGGAGGAATGATGGATGACCCTTGGAGGCTTGCAAACCTTTAGGAGTTTCCTCACCTGTAAAATGTTGGAAGGGAAGTAGGTCACCTAATCCACTCTCCTGTTCCTCTCCCATTGCTTTATAGAGGAGGAGGCTGAGGTCCAGAGAGGAATGACGCACCTATGGCCACATGGCTAGTTAATGGCAGTGCTGGGCTTTGGACCCCTCTCTCCCCACTCCAACACTCTGCCCTGTCCCCAAATACCCTGCCACAACTATTGCCATCCTATCAGACTGTGGCTCTCATCTGATAAGGAGAGATTGGGCTCACTTGGAC